TTTTTACAATGTTGCAATGTTGTGTTCTATTTTTCTTATGAGTTTCATTTGACCACAAGGGTCTCTTTTTATCTTTCATTGTATTTATTGTTGGAACATTCTGTTCATCTGATGTTGCTTCTTCAATTTCAAAATAGCTTCCGGGCTGAACATCTATATTGCCCTTTTCACTTGAATACATTTCTTTCCCACTAAAATCATCATCTTTCTTTCTTCTTTATTTTCATCTTCTGCTTCGAAACCCGAAACTGATTTTACTAGCGCAGATTACTCTTATGTACACGTATATCCACTGTCTTAAAGTAACATACTTTTAAATCCTGCTGATTTATGCTACATAATAATTGTAAGAAATAGCGGAGATGTCTCTAAAAAATTCTATTAGGCTTAGAACTTTTTATTGCGTTATATATTTTTATAGTGTTGAAATGAAATGGTTACATAATTACACGAAAGGTACTCATAATTTTGAATAATTGTACATGACCTTATTTCAAAATCTATTTTTAAGGCACAGATGTCCTTAACAGACAAATTTCAATGTTCATAATATTGTAGTTGCAGGAAGACGCCGGAAAAGTTCGAATTTTTACAATTTTCAAAAAATCAGTTTCCAACGACGTTGAGACCTGCACCTTTCTCTTAAACGTCCTTCAAACAATCCAACAATATTTTATTAAAAATGATGCAGCCATTTTTTGAAAATTTTGAAGCGTCCCAGAGGTTTCATGCAAATTATCCCCCAAAAATAAATATATCGGTATTCAAGGGGTCGTGAATTCAGCCAAATCCATTGTGGGATACTCATTTTGGATAAAATCGGCTACGCGGTTTAGCCGCTAGCGTTGTTCACAGACGGAGGGACAGGCGTTTTGTCGTCATCCGATTTTTCGGTATGTAGCCTCCACAAAACGTGGGTTCTGGCCACACCTTGTTGGAGGATTTTTTTTCAAAATTTAGCTACTGGATTTATCCAATTTTTCGTTCTCAGAGTATTTTTCGTTATCATTCTGTATTAAGAGTTTCTCTGCCGCAAATTCGCTATTTCTTCAGCATTAGGTTACTTTCTCTCTATTCTCTAGCGATAAAGTAAAAATCAAAGTAAAAATTGAATGCGTAGTTAGGAACCTTTTTTATTTCCTATATTTAACTCAAAACATATTCGTATTCTCGAAAAATGTTTCATGTCTCATCAAATATCTATCATATTATTTTCTTAAAGAAAAAAATTAGTTTTTGAAAACTCGGATTTAATTTCTGTGAAGCATGTGCCAAGCGTTATTTCTTTTGCCCGAAGAAAACATTTAATCACGTTATATTACATTCCGTTAATAAAATTTTGGATGCGTTTATGGTTTTGAAATTTTGAAAAGATTGACTGAACTCTCCTTAAAAATAAAAATAGTATTTTCAACTGCGTAGGTTCTCGTAATCGGTCAGATCGGGGAATATGGGGTTTTGTTGAAAATTGTCTGCACTACGTATATTTATTCGCTAGCCTTGAGCACAAACAGGTAGCCCCAGGGAAGTTTGAGCACAAACAGGTAGCAACAAGGAGCCCCAGACAGGTAGACGAACGGCATACCCTTGTGTCGTAAACTAGTGTTTGCGTGACCACAATATGGGATTCTGACAAGTAAATTACATGTACTACATATATACAAGAACAAAATTTATCAGCTTTTTCGATGTCAGGGACCCACAATGTGAGGTTTTTTGAAGAAAAGTTTATTTTCTCTCCAGTATTACAATACATTATCTTTACTACATAAGTACATAGTAGGTGAGAAAGTAGATTGGTAGGTAATGGTACCTTTTATTCTAATTTTTGCAGTGCCAAAGATACATTACCAATAATTCGATAATTAATGTTACATGTTTTCTATTGTCTCTTTCGCACAAACATGCCCTTACTCACGTTTTTCTCAGTGTTCAGTTACACCTTTATAAGCAATTTGAGATTACTAGATGACTGTTGATCGATCATTCCTCTTGAAGTTTGACATCTCTTGAAAACTGATCTGGCATCTGAATGATCTTCACGTAAGCTTCCGCGGCTCGAATCCATAAATTCTCGGCTATCCGGGAGACACCGCGTCGTTGGCAAAGTGACTTTGGTCACTGCCCTGAGGAAGCCTGCGACATGTCAAGCGAAACGTCGGCCTCCCAGCCAACGACGTGGCGTCTCCCATAGCCAAGAATTTATCTGAATGATCTTAATATTCATTTATCATCTCTTTTCGGATTTGTCAGTAAAATTTCTCTTTGATTTTTATCTTGCAAATGTTTCTTTTATAAGCTTTGGTATCAAAGGCACGTGAGTTCTAAAATCTCCAAAAAGTCCAGTCGAGTCCGAAAACTATTTCTGTTTATAAAATTATTGACAAATATTGGTCTTTATTTAAAAAAAGAATACTACTTGATAGTGTTATACGCATACGAATGGCGAATTATCAAATGACTTAAGTATTTATCTTCTAATTCTAGATCTCAAAATTTCTTAGTATCCTTCATTTCTCAGTATCCTTTATCCTTTCACTGTTATCATTTAAGTTTGGGCATTGGTATTTATCCACAACTTTAAGCATTGACAGCGTCTTCTTTTATAATCGCTTCCCCGCATTTTCTTTTATCTTCGCCCTTCTTTTAGTACCACTTTACCGTCATTTTCGAGAGAAAAAGTGTATCATTTCTGAAGATCTTTTGTGACAAATCCTACTATGTTGATGTGTCATTAGTACAACGAACTTGGAAAATTAAGCGCTTTAATTCTCTATTTTCTAGCATTCACTCTAGGAATGTTTGCTTACTTCCACACCTACAGTATGTTTTCCACAGAATAACTAGTATGTCTGACGATCGCTTTCACTTACTTTCGCAATGTGACGAAATCAGAGAGAGAAACTAATTTCTGAGGCAAGACGTTTAGTTTTCTAAAGTAACCGTTCCTTTCCCATTCCCGAACCGTTTACCGAAATTCTTTGTCGTGAAATGAAGTTCTTTTCCAAGGAGATCATTCGTCTAGAAATTGCGTTCTCGAATCTAGGTTATAGTCGCTGTTATCTTGCGTAAGTACGTCTTTGTCGTAGTCAGATGAAAGAGGTCTCCTAGCGCATACTGAGAGCGCATTAAACACGTTCGTGTACTACCTTCAGGGATTCGAAATTACATCGTGCAGATACTGCCGGTACATAGCCATCTATAATTAAATGAAAGAATATTCTTTAGGGTGTAGGGAAAGAGGCATTTGATTTTGTGAGCAATTGTTAAAAGAACACGAATATGGTATCAGAGAAACATAATTGTATTATTCTCGCGTTTGTTTATTGTTTCAGCTATAAAAAAATATGCCCCTATAAAAAGGAAGGTACCAGTTAATATTTGGCTTTTTCATCTATCACTCAACAAATCTTTATCCTATTGACTCTAAGTTTCTTCTACATCTGTTACTAATTTCCAGTGCTCGTAGAAATTTGAAAAGAACTGAAACCTCCAACCAAGTGAGAAGTGTTTATTGTTTTGCTACATTTCTAGAAATTCGGTAAAATGGAAAAAACTCCTATGTTACTAATATCCATCCAGGAATTGAAAGAGAACTTTTTAGTTTCCTGTCATGTGCAAATTTTTGCTACTACTTTTGAGATATTGAGCATGATTCTCTCTTTAGTAGTCCATTGCTTTATTTGGTTTGTCTCCGAAGTAGTTCAGCCATTGTTTAATTCGGAACCAGAACGAAACAGAGAAGAATCGCCTGCAAATTGAGTTGTGTATATGAAACCAAATGTGGGTATGTCGGTGGTGAAAATGTTGAAGAGAGTTTGGGATAGAGGGGAGCTTTGGGTGAACGCCTGCTACGATGGGACGAGTGTTAGAAAAGTGTCTGAATTTTTACTGAGTAAACGACGTGATAAACTATCGGAAGACGGGACAGTGTTACTAAAAGGGATATAATGAGTATAGTAGAAATGGCCAGAGACAACATATTGGTTTATATATATCTTTTTTCTTCTTCTCCTTTTTCTAATCTCATAGTACTACTTTAGGTAATATACAGCATATTCAGTCGTTTTAAATGTTTAGCTGACGTTTATTGGGAAAATGAAAGAACGCATCTGTTCATAGCTGCCCTAGCAACGACGATGATAATAACAATGATATTAATAAAAATAAGAAAAAAGGCAGGTAGCGATGAGTCAAGCTGAAGGACGGCAAGGCGAGGCATTGGCGACGCGAGGCGGGAAAATCCTGGTTCAAGAACGAAAGAGAGTTTGTGTGTGTGAGCTAGAGCAAAAGACAGAGTATATGTGTGAGGGAGAGACGGAATGTGTGTGTGTGAGAGAGAGGGAGAGAGAGGGAGTGTGTTAGTGTTTGGATGAGTTAGTAATTGAGTTAGTGAGTGAGTGAGTTAATGAGTTTGAGTTTGTGAGTTTCTGAGTGGGTTTGCGAGTTGTGAGTGACTTTGAGTGAGTTGGTTTGAGTGAGTATGTGAGATGGGGTGTGATAAGAATAGGTCGGAGTAGGATAGGACAGGGCAGAACAGAGTTGGGCGGTGTTACCAAAAACATAGAATTTATTTTGATATATTAGATAGTTTTAATTAATAAATTATCGGGTAACGAAGAGTACTTCATGTAGTATTATGAACACTTTTATCATTTCTTTTGCTGTATTAATGTTTTGGTTGCTCTGCAATGTGTTCTCCTAAATGTTTTTCGTTCAGGTTGTGAAGTTGCGTGCAATCTATTACATAATAATATCAGTTACGTTCACTATCACACAAACATTCGTTCTTTTTCTTTTCTCGCATGACATACTTTCAATTATGAACCAATAAAATCAGACTAAAAATCTTCATTCTAATTAATGAAAGGAAAGATGTAGGAGCACGCAGAGTGTAACCAAGTATTGTCCCCGATCATTATTAGTATTACGAAATAGAAGAAGAAAATTAAGATATAATCAATTTCCATCAAATAATGTATTTTTATTCTTCTTTTCAGTTCTGTTTTCTGGTAATATCTGCTTTTGGAATTGTTTTGAACATTCGTTTTTACGGGATTTGCACCCCATCCTGGTGCCCGCGCTTGCTTTGTGCTGGAACTTGCCACAGCTCTCAACTGCGCAGTGGCTTCGTCACCAATGGCTTCCACTATCACCACCATCACCCACCGCCACACCACATCACACCACCACCACACAGCGCGCGAGGCCTCGCTTTGCACCGCAGTGCACGCTACTGCAGAACATTAGAATCCCGCTGATTACGTTTCGGGTTTCCGCAAGGCGCAGATATTAGCGCGCAGAACGATCTGTGTAGAGGTAATTAATTCGCGTGATGAATGCATAATTACGATTCCTTCTCTTGTTTCAGGTGAGAGCAGAGGGCGACTGCGTCGCCAGCGCTGCGACGGGCTTCCCACCACTGCACCGCACACAGGAGTTGCTTGATAAGTGCGCATGGATAATGCATGACGCCACTTTTAACTACTTGTGTAATGTACCGCGATAATTGCTTCTCGCTTTCACTGCTTTCGTACCTGTCGCCTACGTGGTTCAGACTGGGAGGGATCGCGATGCAATTTCGATTCGGTGTTCTTGACGAGCTTCGGTTAATTGTTTGTGACTGAATAATTCTAATAAAAACAGAAAATGCCGAACGTGATGTCTGAAATGTGAGATGTAGGTATAATTTCATAATATTAAAATATAACCAATTACAGGAGAAGAGGTGATTTTCTCACATATAATATTTGTTTTAAAGTTGGAACTTACCTTATTATTTATCACTCATTAAAACAGCAGGTCTATTATTGCATTACTTGGTAGTTACCAGTGGAATTATCCGCTCATGTATGTTTTGACACCACAGGACTTGAATCTGAGCTTATAAATGTCAGCGTGGAATTACAAATATCTTTCTTACTGAAGAAATGTGTTTCTTACTTTTCAAATGCATTTTTGCAAGAAACAAACTTTATTGATTTTTAAACAAGTAAACTACTTTATTGTGTTTGATTTTACACCGCCATTATCAACCAGCTATTTTAGATGTTTGTTGGAAAACACATAGTAGTACATTACATAAAAATAATTGATATTAATGCAGTTTAATTTTGATGGAAGGAACTCAATCAATCACTTGCAAATGATTGAATGTTTATGACTTAGAAAATGCTGAGTGAAAAAGTAGAGAGTATAACGGTTCTAAGAGTTGGGGATCTATGATGCTTCCTTGAAAATGTAAAATATCAGTTAACAGGGAGCGCACGTAGTTTTCCTATGGACGACAAATTTATTTTTGTCTCTTAATTATGAGTCATAGAAACTAATTTATTAATATTAAAACCATTTTCAAAATAATTTTAGAAACGTCAACTGATAAATCGTACTTCATTCATGTATTGAATTTCCTCCTCGTTTCATAAATTTCAACGTACTTCTGCAGACGATTTTCAAGAATATTTTTTTATTATTTAGTTACATTTCTGTTCTGGGGATGCGAATGTAATTGCAACAGGATGTCATCTGTAATCGACCTCAAGCGAACTTGTTTCCGACTAACCGACCGAAACATATCGATCGATTACCGTTTAATTTGCCTATTACCTCCCCACGAGGTTACTACACGCTTTAGAGACGCGTAATATGTGGTAATTGAAGATCAATTTCTGTTGCTACAGAGAAGGTAGGCAGCTGGTAGACAGAAGATTAGGGAAACATGATAACAAGTAACAAAACCCGCAATAAACGTTTGTATTTAACAAATTATTTTAGTGTGCATGTGAAGAATGCTAAACATTTTTCACATCTAAATCAACTGGGATTTTAGATTCTCTTTGCGGTGATGAAATGAACGAAATATATGTTTGAATTTAATTTAATGAGGACCAATTAATCGACCAAAAGACCGGTTGCTGATTAATCGAGAAGAGAGACAGAGTAACCGATTATCGATTTACGGACGTGTCTCGTGTGTGCAAACAAGCAATTTGTGAAAATGCGCCGTTTAAAATGACTGATGTTTACAACAACAATCATTACATCAAAGACAACAAATCTACAATTGTACCTTTCATTTTACATTTACGAACGGCGCTAAATTTCAGCATGTTGTTTGTTTTTCTACTCTCATGTGTAAACTGTGAATGGTAAACAGATCTCGGTATTACACTTTTCGAAGAATGATTAATTTTACCGTCCCATGGTAATTTCGTTTTATTAGGAATAATTTATCAAATACGAAATTTCTCTGATTCTATTTTGGTTGTAGGTATCAGAAACTTGCCTTAGCACTCACAAGATATGATATTATTGCATGAAAGTTTCAAAGTATACATAGGTAATGTACACAATTAAGATATTAATTTGCCACATTTAAATGCACTATAACAATAATAATTATTATGAGATATATTTCTTTGGTGTATTACCGCGTTTCTCATGACGAGTTAATATTAGCTTAACTTAAGACTCAGTTGAAAATTGTCGATACTAAATACTCTGCATCGCCATAATTTGTACATCTATTCCGACCAGACTTTAAACCGGCGAATTATTTATTCAACTCATTAACGCAATAGTATCGTTCGTCATACATAAATGCATATAAATGTGAGAGTAAACGGGGAAATTTCGGAAATGAATGATACACTTAACAATTTGTTAATTGACTGCAACATATTCCTCTTGAATCAACGCATCCGTTTATTGGTTACTTTAAGTAAATTTTCCGCTTGTGTTCGAGTTCATATCCTAAATGAAAGATCATACCTAGAATAATTTTCTGAAACGACAAACATTAATCTTTTACTGAAGTTGTATTATATTACTATCAAGGAATTACACGAAATAATATTTCATATACAAATGTATTAAATCTGACATGACTCGGTGATTTCAAAGTAGCCTTGGCTATTGAAGTCAGTGTAAAAACTCTAAAGCATGACTTTCTAAAGAAGTTTGTTTAAAGGATATTATTTCGTCTAACATATTTAATGCACCTGGTAAAATATTCCATAAATATTCCACTCTGTTAATATTGTATGAAGCGAAATGTAAGATTGAATAATGGAATATTACAATATTCCATACATTATTGCCTAAACAGTTAAGAAAGAATTATGAATTATAATTATGTTCCTCGGAATAAAACATGAAGAGCGGCTCCGTGGCGAAAGGTTGCGCTAGCCGAGGAGGCTGCAGGTTCGGGCCCTTCGTAGTCAGAGACGTATTTGTGGTTGTCCTTTCCTCCCTCATCATCCTGTCGCGTCGTAATTCAAAATTCAAGGCGTAAAAACCGAGGGATACAGCCGAGAAAAGCTGATTCCCATAATGACACACGTTAATCTCTCCGTGATAAATATGTCTGTGCATCCGAAGATAATGTATAACGTGGTCTTAAATGGTGGATACGCATGTAATAATAATAATAATAATAATAATAATAGTAATAGTAATAATAATAACAATAATAATAATAATAATAATAATAATAATAATACATTAGGATAGTGGAGCACTAACTATAGAACATTTGTTGGAAGAAAATGCATTTTTGTTATTACTTTTCGAAAGCCTGCACGCGCATATGTTGCCTTGCTAATTTAATTACTTAATATCAGTTAATAGCCATGGAGAACAATTGTTGCACCTTCTTCTTAACGACGGCAATAAGGAAGTACGGTGGCTGCTCGTATTCACAGACGCACGTTAAATTTAAATTAAACAGGGCCATTTATGAGGTCGTAGGCAACATTAATTGGCGTACCTTCTTCATAAGCGACTGTGAGGCAGCTCCCGTTTTCCATTTCCGTTCCCTCTTCGCGCTCGCCCGCGGGCGTCGCGGTGCGCAATGAAGCGACGATGTTGACGCGCGGGTGCTCGAGCTGTTTGTCAGCTCAGCCGGTTCGAGGGTTTTCGACTGGATGGGCGAGTGCCATGAGGGCGCCCAATTCATTCAACTACGAGCAGCCCTCTTGGAGCGCCACTTCAAAGAGGCCCCTCATAGTTGGTATTTAATGTCTTGTATATTTGTGGATCGCCCAACTAGGATGAAACGAAATCCAGCCCTGTTTCCTTTTCAATGATAATATGAACCCTTGGAATTGGACATTGGCCCTTAAGTTGTCGTGTGGAATGCGTACGCACGTGCCAACAGTTTCTAATAGTTTTCGTTTTACCTGCTAATATTTAAAAATGTGTAATATTTATGTTCAAAATATATTTATCAATAGGCATGTAATTACTCAGAGTTCGTTAGAGGTTTACTTGATACACGAAACCGGGTCTAAGTGGTCATGGTGTTGGTGTTATTGGCTACTAATTGGTCATCCCGGCCATTCAGAACTGACCGTTCTGTGAACTTTATATACGAGGTCATGCATTGGTAAATATCTCATTAGATGACATCACTGACGAAGTTTAATTTATTTCCATAAACACTTGCACTACTTATAATGCCAAATACGTTTGCGGATGTAAAAAGTGAAAATTAACTCTGTCTAATGTCTTAATTTTTCGAACGTTTTTGTCACGTAGTGTTATATTGGTGACTTCAGTTTCATTTCAGAACGATTTCAGTTTGATGAGCAATTAAACATGAAAAGCCCATTTGGAGTAAAGAGAGCCAATTAATTGTCTAGTTGTCTGTCTTGATTCCCAACGTTCGAATAAAAGATTCTCCACATTTAGAACTTATTTCAGATTGCTTTTTCTGAAACTTTTATACTTAAATATATTTACGCAGATATAAGCTATCTGTCAAGCTTACGACATCAATTTCAGTGCATTAAATGTGAAAAAGTATACACTACATTACAGTATTCAAATGTATAGTAGATGAAAACGTATTCAAGAACGCTCCATATGGAATACAAGTGAGATTAAATGAGTACAGGAACAGAGACCGAAAGGAAGTAGGTCATCGAGGAGGGATGGATGTTTGAAAATGTATTTTTATAAAATTGGATTTATGTTTACTGACAGCCAAAATAAATACAATTGGAATAGAAGTAGATATTTGAGCAGCTACTAGATGGGAGGAAAAGATGTCAATATAAAATTAATATCTAAGGTATAAAATTAAATTTATATGTTTGTAAAATTTATATTGTGTATTTTAGCGCCATTTTTTTTATTTAAAATTTCTGTAAACGTTTCTGAAAACTACCCCACAAAATAGGAGATCTCAATTTCTGCACATCTGATTTTTTCCTAATTTCGGTTAAATTGTTAGTGATGTATAAATTCTATTAACTGCAAAACTCAGCAAAAGTTTTATTCCAAAGCTAGATATAACTTCTTTTAATTTTTGGTACTTTTATTTAAAATTGATATTATACGATTAAAAGAGCTTAATACAATTCCTGGTAGGCTGTTCGTTTTTTTCTTCATTGATGAAATGCCGTGTCATTCTGAGATTTAAACCCATTTACGTCATTATTTTGAAATTGAAAGTACGGCGTTTTCTATTGAGTGTCCCTGCAAAATATCGTCTGTACTCCTCCGAGTCAGCTGAAATAGTTGTAAACTGAAGTGGAGCAGGTGGCGCGCGGATATTAAAGGATCGTACACTCTAGATAGATTTTCGAGAACTTGGTAGCTTGGAATCGAGTGCGTGGATCGAGCGATTGAAAATACCATATAACAGCTCTCAAAGTACCGTTTATCCGTGTAGTGCAGAAGTCGGTAATGAAAGATACATTGAATACGTTTTCGTTGGAGTATTGGCGCGGCAGATTCAATACCTTCTGTATCTCTTTTCAACCCATTTTTTCAGAACTTTCTCTCCTCTTCAATCGCTACGTCATCTTGATTAAGAGGAACACTAATATACAATTGTTTTACTTCTTTACTACTATTCATTCACATTAGTTATAGTTTTCAACGTGGTTAATTTTGGAAGAAATTAGGACGTAAGATCATTCTTCTCGACTTTTCATGTAAAAAAGTGTCAGTGGTTAGGCATAACTTATTTGTTCCTTTCAGTATGTCTCAGGGAGCGTCGTAGTAAACAGACTAATGTTCTATTTTGGAAAATATCTGTTCGAAACGTGCCACAATAAAAAATGCATAACTTGTGCCAGATAACGTACGGGACAAATGAGGCTAGCGGCTGTCGCGCACCCCCGAAACTCAAAATAATCGAAGGAATAAAACATTTTAGAAAATAGGCAATATTTACAAAACTAAGGATAGTACATTTCAGACTTCATTTCTGCTGTGGGTTCAAGAAATTAGGTAAAGAACCCTGTCCAAAGTGTGGTGCCACAGCCTTCACTTCTCGCTTCATTCATGTATGCCTTGCTATATATAATGTAAGAAAGCTTCTGAAAATGGAAATAATTCTTAAATCATTGCTTAGTTCCACAGACAGGTGTGCCAAGATATTAAAACTTAGAAATTTCGAAACTGAACAGTCTTACATAACTACTGAATATTGTCTGTCGTTGTCTGTACTTGGCGCGACAGCCCGCGAACGGGCCAGGACCTACTGACAGCGTCTCGACCTCGCGCAATGGGTTAAGACACTACGTGTGGTTAGCACGAAGACATTCCTACCCCGTATTACTGAATATTAAAATAGTACCGAAGCTAGATTATATATCAGCTAATTCGTGAAAGTGTAAGTATTTTTGATATGTTTATTCTTGTTAAAAATTGTAATTACTGGCGGCGATAACAGTAACGGTTAGCATATCGGACTCTTATACCCACGTTTGCCCCGATTGATGCCGTGGATTTTTAAGGGCAAAAATATCCTTCGTTCGAAGGGGAAGTAGAGCCGGCTGTCCCATGTTAGTTGATTTACTATGTAAAACATCTTCCAGCCTAAATGAAGTCCCAAAACTAAATTATAATCACCTGTTTCGTCGGCAAAGAAATACCTCCTTTCTCCGCTCGTTGGTAAAAGGGGCGTAGCGAAATTTGCATGGTGTCTCGCCACGGAAAATAAGGCATAAATTGAATTGAATTCAATAATTACTAAGTTATTTAATACAGTTGTATGATGATAGGGACATGTATAAGAAGACGTCAAATAAATAAATTGATAAAAATAACACTGCACTTTGCGTGCGGCGAGGAAACAAACCCTCCGTCCATTGGTGATTGCGCGGGCTGCTTTCCGGACGTGCGTGGCTGGCCGGGGCTGGCCGGGAGGACGTCCGTTGGGCCCCCCTTGGCGCGTGCGTGGGGTTGGGAGCGTCGCGTTTCAGAGAGCGAGTCGAGCGTGAAAGAAACGCGAGGCGCGGACACCAAAACGCGCGCGGTCGCGTGGGCACACACTCACTCATACACACGCACACATACACACAGCTGT